GTATGTGTATATATATATATATATATATATATATATATATGTATGTATATATTATGTGTATGATATCAGAATTTACCCCTCAAGATTCATTTTCCGTGATCTACATTTGCTCTCAAGGATAATGATCTTATAATATGCCTTTGGCGACGCGTTGTGTCTAATTGAATCTTACATGGATGATGTTAGGCAAAAAACGAGCTTATAAGAATATAAGAGCGATTAAGAAAAGATTCGATTACATCATTTGATCGACGTCAATCGACAGTACTTTGTACTTCAGAGGCGCTTTTAATATTTAATTCATTCCCTCGAAATAGAGTAAGTTTAATCTAAAATATTTTAACAGTGTGTATTTTCAAACATAATGTTACAAATAGGACACCTTTTATATTTGATTAAATTATAGACATAGTATATTGTTGGCACAGTGATGTAGTTACGGCTTGCAGGGACACTGCCAATGCTTTTTTTGAAACGAAGACGTGACTGTGCCAGGTATTCATTGAACTAACGGTTGACTTAAACGGAATGTCAATTTACCTATATAATAAACGCTTTATACAATTATTCTACCATTAAAATTTAACAAATTTCTGCGTTTACTCGTCCTTTAAATGTAAACTCACCATTAGTAGAAATTTAAATAGATACAGTCTGTGTCAACTCTGTATTGTACTATATTATTACAATAATTACATGATTATAATATTTACGATTATAAAGATTTGTTACAATTCTAAAAATTGATGAAAGGACTGAACTTGATATGAGTAAAATTAAAAGTAAAAAGATTGAAATACTATTATAATTATTTTATTTTCGATGATACCTTTTCAATATTTTCTACTAATTAATATCGATAAACAAGATTAGTTGCAAAATTAATGGATGTAATAAATTATAAGGTGGAAATGATGGAGAACGATAATGTAATAAATGGATTTTTAATAATGGAATTAATGGAACGTCAAATATTCAAAGAGCAGTATAATTTATGACACAATTTGTTATCTCACCTACTTATCTCGACTGCGGTTAATGAACTGCATTATTTTATGATATGATTTCATTTACCTTCAAATACCGGAAAAGTGCGAACTTTTTAGCATTATACCCATAAAGGGATAAACAAGGCTAGTCTGATCTGATTAATGCTCAAACTATCTATAATATTTCTTAATCACTTTACATTCTTCCATTCCCTTTGATATGTTTAAAAGTGCTATTAAATAATAAACGATTATTTGATTTCTCTTTAATTCATCTCTTTTTTAAGAGATCTAAAATCGATGTTTCCTTAGAGAAGTTAATTTTGAGTATTAAAAATTAAAATACAATTAGATTCACTGACACATTCTGTATATATAAAATTCTTATTAAAA